AGACCTTTAGGGGAGCATGCAGACGGGCAGGCTGTGGGGCTCCCATCCCACCACAGCGTCTAGGGCTGGATGTTTACAGCTCCTGAAGCCCCAGTGGGCCTGTGCTACCATGTGCTCTTTTAGTGTAGCCATCTGTAGGTGGCTTGTGTTAACCAGCTGAATTAGATCTCTACCTGGTTGCAAGGACGGAGGGCTGTATCCTGGGATTCTTGCCTTGTGTACCGGAAGAATCAGGTCGCATGTGGGCTTGGAGAATGAGTGCAAGGTTTTATTGAGTGGAAATAGCTCTCAGCAGATGGGGGAGTGCGAAGGGTTTCCCCCTGGAGTCGGGCCACTCAGTGGCCTGGGCTCTCCTCCAACTGCCCCAGCCAAACTCCGCGTCATTCTGCCGGTTGGTGGCCTCCAGGCGTGCTGGTGCCTGTCTGTGCCTTCCTCTCGGCATGCAGCTGCCTGTGCGTCCCCTTGCTGGTGGGCTCCTCTCAACATCTGGCCACCTGGGTATGCCTGCTAGGGTCTCAGGGTGTTTCTAGGCACAGGATGGGGTGTGGCAGGCCACGGTGGTCTTGGGAAGTGCATTTGGGCAGGAAAACAAAAATGCCTGTCCTCACCTTCTTCTGTCCATGGTGGTGGAGCCCTAGCCAGGGACCGTGCCCTCCTCTCCCCAGCATTTCTCCCCCTGCCCCTGCCCCTTCCCCATCACTTAAAGGGACCACACCCTTCCCTTCCCAGCACTTCCGAAATGGTTCCTGGTTAATTTTTTGAGGAGCCTCCATGCTGTTTTCCACGGTGGCTGGAGATGGAAGTGTTTAAAGTGTGTGCACCCATGCCATTGTGTGCTTGGCAGGTCACCTCGCGGAACAGCACTGTGATGAGAGCTGGTGGCTTGCCCTCCTCCTTCAGGAGGCACAACTGCAGGCCTTCCAGGGGAACACTGAGGAAAGGAGCGGGTGACAGGAAAGTGAGGGGTCTAAACCCAGGACCTGCGGAGGGAATGAAAAGGGTTTTGCCTGGAGAAGAAAGCTGATCAAGACTGCCTAAAGTGACTGACGGTGGTCACGAGACCATTTTCTCCGCAAAGCTAAACTAGATACTTTAGTTGTGTAAACCAGAAGTAAAATCCTAAGCACCCCAGCTGACCAAGGGGATTCCAGAGTAATCCTGAAAAACTAGTTCAGACCGTGGAGAGAAGGAAGGGGTCCGACATGCCTCATTATGCCCTCCTCCTGAAGGTCCGAGTGGGAAGCACTTGCCACCCGTCATCTCTGAGTGCCACCTGTGAGACCTCATCTCCGTAACGGCCTTGACCTCCCTTTGTCTCTAGCCCAGACCCTCGTTTCTGTTGATTCCAGGTTTTTATTTTACTTTTTGAGACAGGGTCTCACTCTGTCACTTGGGCTGGAGTACAGGGGCATGACCACCACTCACTCCAGCCTCCAACTCCTGGCTCAAGTGATTTATCACCTCAGCCTCCCATGTAGCTGGACCACAGGCATGCACTACCACGCCTGGCTAGCTTGCTTTCTTTTTTTGAGACCTGGGATTCCAGGTTTTTAGATAATAACTCTTAATCAGGGGTGACAGGAACGCACCGACAGGCACTGGCACGCCTGCATGCCAAGAACCGGGCAGAGCAACGTGGAGTTCGGCTGGGGCGGTTGGAGGAGAACTGGCCCAACGCCGGGAGAAAACCGTCTGTTAACTAACTGCGAATCAGAAAACCTTTGAATCTGCCTGTGACCTGTAAGCCCCTGTTTTGAGTTGTCGCGTGGTTCCAGACTGAACCAATGTATTGATTGATATCTTATATCCCGTTAAAACATAGAGACCCAAGCTGTAAGCCAACTACCTTGGGCACACGTTCTCAGGACCTCCTGAGGCTGTGTCACTGGTTGTGGTCCTCACATTTGGCTCGGAATAAATCTCTCTTTTTTTTTTTTTTGAGACGGAGTTTCGCTCGTTACCCAGGCTGGAGTGCAATGGCACGATCTCGGCTCACCGCAACCTCCGCCTCCTGGGTTCAGGCAATTCTTCTGCCTCAGCCTCCTGAGTAGCTGGGATTACAGGCACGCGCCACCATGCCCAGCTAATTTTTTGTATTTTTAGTAGACACGGGGTTTCACCATGATGACCAGGATGGTCTCGATCTCTCGACCTCGTGATCCACCCACCTCAGCCTCCCAAAGTGCTGGGATTACAGGCTTGAGCCACCACGCCCGGCCCTCAGAATAAATCTCTTAAAATATTTCAGAGTTTTGCTTTATTATCAGCAGTTGAAAAGTGATAGGAAAGAAAATTTGGCTTAATAAAAGCAACATTTCTGACTACATACAGTTGTGAAAAGCCTAGGAAGCTATCGCATGAGCAGTGTATCTCTCATCTCTCCTGGAATGTGTCACGTGACTCACGTTGGTACTGGACACCCGCCCAGAGGACCTTCAGTCCCCTTTCAGTTTTGAGATTCCTAGATATGAGTATGATCTTTCTTCTTTCTTTTTCAATATCAGTTTCCTTTGAGATCTAATTTGCAAACTAGTCACCTTTAAGAAAATCCCCTGTGTATGACCAGATGCCACTTTGAACACAGATTATTTCTGGCCCTGGCCCTGGCTCCTGCCCGTCCTGCCTGCTCAGAAGCCTCTGACCATCCTCAGCAGGGCCCTGATGGTGGTGGCTCTGCCCGGGTTTCCTTCCCACATGTATTTCCAGCAAACAGCCAGGGTGCTGCCTGTCTGAAATGGGGCAGGTCCTGGAGGGGATGTCCCAACCATGTGGAGAGGCTGGTGAGGGACTCATGCCCGGGATCCTGGGGATTGCCTCTTCCATGGCGTGGTGCTGCCCAACAGCTGCTCTAGGTGTGTCCTTAGGCTGAGTTACCGTGCACAGCACCCTGGACCGAGTGTGCCGTTCTTCCCGTGCCCCGCTGTTTCTGGCTGTGTTCAGGATGTTTCTCCCTTGGCAGTGCTTCCCATGGATTGAGGCAGGAGAAGACCTGCTACGGAGCCCAAGAAGGCAGGGAAACAGTTGTTCACCCCAATCTCACTTTTTCCAGGTTTCAAGACTGTGAGCTGGGGAGCTTTCTCCGGGTGAGGGGTGTCTCAGCTGTGGAAGTTCAATTCCCATAGTCTCTGCTTGGAATCGTTCCTTTCTCTGTGGCCCCAGGGGCTCGCACATTCTCACATTTTAAGTTCTGGGGTATTGCTGGTGCTGTGCCTTTGTTTCTGGTTTTTGGTGGGAGGAGTGTAGCCAGCCTGTGTCTATGCCATGCTTTTGGAACCAGAAGTGTCCACGTTCACCCCCAGACTTTCACTGTAGGTCCAGGAGTCATCACTGTGACAGAACACATAAAGTCATCACTGTAAAAGAAAACGCACACGTGTTGCTCTTGGAAACAAACAGTCCATCTAGGGTGCAGCCACACGGCACCACATCTGTCTACTGCACTAAAAATCTTACAGTCACTTAGAAGTCAGGGCAGGGAAGCCACAGAGTGCTCATTTGTCTACCTTCATCGAAGTCCCAAACGCCAGGCAGAAAACTGAGTGTGCACCTTTTGTTTTAACTTGTATAATCATGCATCATCTTGGCTAAGAATGGCCTGTAATACGTGTGGGATGTGTACTGCAAACCCTTGCTGAGGTCGTGCGAAGTCTTCCGACTGATGTATGGGCCAATGAAGCCGATGGCAGGTCCAGGAACTGCAGTTGTGTTAAAGCAGGGCTTGATGTGATAATGTTGAGATGTGCAGTAACTAACGTGATGAGATTTCTGTTGGTGAGAGTCGAGGTTTGACTAGTGCTGAAGCTGTCTACATTCACGATGGAGGGAAATGCCTCATTCAGCTGGAAGTTGGTGAAAGTAGCTGTCATCTTGCTAATAATTCTAGTCGGCTGGCCCACGGCAGTTAGGCACAGCGTCACAGTCACGGGAGCCATTCCTTCAAATAAGCCCTTCTCTTCCTCTCCCCTACACGCCCACCAGTTCTGTTCTCTGGAGAACCATGACTGACACAGTTGCCCACCGGGCAGCATGGGGAAAGAGACGAAGGAGCTCAGGGTGCTGCAGGAACAGCCTGGATGTTTCCAGATCTGCCCCAAAGGAAGCCCTTAGCTCCTGTAGCTGCCGGACAGAGCTTTCTCAAAACAGAATCTGGAGTCTCCTGCTGCAGGTGGCTGAATTCTAATTGTGTGTGACATCTGCTGTGACACTGAGGGCGTGACTGAGAAGGAACAGGACCCCGAGAACCCAATACAGACGTGTGGCAGCGGCCTGCAGAAGCTCCCTGGCCAGTAGAGGCAGCCTTTCCTCCCAGTCTAGGGAGGTTCATCCTGCAAGACGGGCCGGGCTCTCCTCAGCTCCTGTCCTCACCTGTAGATGCTCAGCTAGACTTCAACCCCAGCAGAGCCTGGAAGACAGGGTGCAGAGTGTACCCCTGGGGAGGGGGTGTGTGGCCTTCCAGTCGGCACCGGCAGGAATCTGGAGCACGCGGGCGAGAGCGGGTGTTGAGAGTGTGGGCGGTGGGAAGCACTTTGACACTGGGTCTGGCCAAGGTGGGGCAGGGGCCTGCTGGGCAGGGCTGCCGTTGTCATGTGTGCCTCCTACGATATGGATGGCACAGGCATAGCACACTCCATCACTGCAGAAAGGCCTGTTAGATAGTCCCCGAGACAGTAAGTACAGGTTTTTTATTTTGAATCAAGACCGGACCAAGGTATCATGGTGTGGGCAGAGTGATAGTCTAGGCAGAAGGTGTGCATTTTTGCTGTCTTTCTGCTGGTTGGCTTGGCATCTGTGCACGAATGTTCTCACTGCCCTGGTCCCCAGCATTCTCTTCTCACACTGGAGGCAACAGTCCCTGTGCCTCCTGCTTCATGGAGTGCTCGTGGAAAAGTACTATAAAATGGTAACGTGCTTTACGAAGTTTAAAACGGTTTTCAGGAAAAAATGTATTACTCCTTAAAAATGAACTGACCTGGTTTTCCATGTTTGGTTTGCTTTTTCAGATTGTTGACAGAACTGGAATCTCCTGCTTGGTGGCCCTTTAGCTCCAAGCTTTGGAAGACACCATCAGAAGCAAAGCCCAGGGAAGGTGTCTCTGTGAAACCAAGTTGTGAACCCTCTGGGAAAGAAGGGGTGCTGATCCAAATTCCTGCCATCATTTCCCACAGAACAGAGTCTCACGTTAAGCCAGGGAGGCTCACTGTCCTCGTGTCTGGGTTGGAAATCCATGATTCCAGTTCTTTGCTCATGCACAGATTTGAAAGAGAAGATGTGGACGACATCAAGGTCCACTCACCTTACGAAATCAGCATCCGCCAGCGGTTTATTGGAAAGCCAGACCTGGCCTATCGTTTGCTATCCGCCAAGATGCCGGACGCCATCCCCGTTTTAGAAGTGCAGTTCAGTAAGAAGATGGAGCTGTCGGAAGAGGCCTTGGTGCTCAGAAGCGTGAGAAGCTCTTCCCCAGCAGAGAAGAGCCGCTCCGTCTGGCGTGCAGGTCAGTGACCAACAAGGCAGTGAGCGCGTGCGCGGACTTCTAAAATTACAGCCAGCCTCAGCACGCCTGTGGGACATGCCTGGCAGATGCGTCACCTAGAGCAGCTGCCGGCCTCCAGCTCGCTAGAGACAGCTCGTTTGTTTATACTGAAAAACAATTCCAGGCCATTTTCCTTGCGCTTGACATCTGTGAATATGCAATTGCTGAGCGTGAACCTGCACACTTGATAGGTGTGTGGACTCCAAGCAGGCTGGTGCCGTGCTTTGGGTGCAGTTTGTCCTCACCAAATCCCCTGTGGAAATTTGGTCCCCAGTGTGGCAGGGCTGCGGGCTGATTGGTCACGAGGGCTCTGCCCTCTACGTGGCTTGGTGCTACTCTCGTGGCAGTGAGTGAGTGCTCCCTCTGGGAAGCCTGGATGAGTTCTGGAAATGCATTAGTTCCCGAGAGTGGATTGTTGGGAGGCAGAATGTCCCTCTGGTTCTCTTTGCCTGTGTTCGCTTCCCACTTGAGTGTCTCTGCCACAGCAGGAGAGCCCTCACCAGAAGCCAGGGCACGCTCTTGGACTTCCCAGCCCACAGAACTGTCAGCTGACGAAAGCGCCGTTCTCTGTAAGTTACCGAGTCTCAGGTGCTCAGTTACGGCGATGCAGAAGCTGCTGTGACACAGAAAGGGCTTTTAGAATGGCTGCGTCAGAGCCAAAGGAAGCTCCTGCTGTTGTCCCTCTCACCTCCCCTCATTCCGATGTGGGAACCAGCACCTCGGGATGGTGACTGGCACCATCTCCACCTCCCCTGGTGGGGCTGTTCCCTTCACCCCTGCTTTGCCCACTGCTGTTTCCCTGGGCATTTAATCTAGGTTTTCCCAGCCTGGCACCCAGACATGCTATTAGGGATCTGTGTGTGAGAACTGTGCAGTGTGCTTCCATGTGTTTGTGGTATTCTCAGGTGTGTGTGGCATGGCCACGGTGCCTTCCCACAGACTCCACTGTGGATTGTGAGTGCTCAGCTGGCCTGTCCCTGGGGCCGGGCTGAGGGGCAGATACCCTGGGTCTTGGCATGTCCGCCACGTTGGGCCCACCTCCCCCTAGCACGGGACTGAGGCTCAGCTGCTGTTGTCCTGCCCGTCTGATGGGAGGCTGGTGGCACCTTGGTGTTAATTCTCACCTTCACCCTCTCCCTGGTTGGGAGCTGGGGCCCCTGGTGTGTTGTATTTGTTTTGGCCCTGCAGGTTTTGCTCTGTGGATAGCCTGTTCTGTTTTCTTCTTTTGTTGTGTGCCTTCTTCCCTCGTGGATGTGCAAGACTTTCCTGCTATCCCGTGGTCAGGCTTTAGAGGCTGCAGCCACTTCCTCTGGATTCTCTTCTTCCCTTACAGAAATCTTTTATCTTGCCATTGCAAAATCCACTGATTTTCCCCTGCAGTTTGTCTTGGAGCCCCGATTAAGAAATCCCAAGGTCATAAAAAACTCCCATTTTCTAATACTAGCGTTATAGCTAAGATGCGTGCATGTATACGTATGCACACGTGTACCAGTGCATGTGTGTTGTCATGTATGTGACGTGCACATCCACACTGTAATGCGTGTCTGTATGTACAGCATGTAAAGCTGTGCTCTTACGGATTTTGATTGCCAGATGTCTGCTGTAAGAGGGATTTGCTGCTCTTTTGGTTTCTCTAATTTTTCTCTTAAGACAAAGATTTCAGTTCCTGTAACCTGTTTCCCTAACATGAAAATATTTTGCTTGCTATTCTAGATGGCTTCAAGTGTCGGAAAGAAATACACATAATAATAGATTGAGTCCCATGAGTTCCAGGGCTGAATACACACCTTAAAAACAAAAGGTGTACACCTTAGTTACGCAGCACGTGGTTGAATCACAGAGAACCTACCACCTTCCTGTATATGCCTGAAAGTCAGGGGTTGCAAAGAAAGGCATTGACCCCTATGGAGCACAGTACACGGTGTGAAACGTAATGAAATCCATTGATTGAGATGAGAAGATCAAAGGTCACTGTGAGCTGCTGTCACTAAAGTGCAGGCCCAGACCCGAGTGGCCTGGTGGGAGACAGGCTACAGAAGCATAGGAAGAGGGTCTCCACCCACATGGAGGGTGAATGGCACAGCTGCACTACTGCACGTGGCTCAGGGAGGAGGTGTGTGACATGCTGTGGAGGTGGGACTGTCCTGCTGGGGACTGAAGAGGGGGCCCCGGGTATGTGTGGCTTCAGGCAGGAAGTTTGTAACATTCTTCTGTGTTCAGGGCTGCTCTCCAGGGTCCCAGTAGAGAAGCGCTGGGTGTGTTCAGTGGCCCTGCCACGTCACCAGGCCGGCTGCACCGTGGTGGCCAGCACTCCTGTGTTCTACGGCCTGGTGTTTGTAAGTGGGTTCCTACAACCTATGCTGTTTGAGGTCAGAGGGGAATCATGGCCTTTTCTGGGGGCCTCAGTGTGCATTCAGGATTCAGGACTGATAGCGTCACCCTCCCTGCTTGTCTAGGAGGGCCCCTTAATTTAGGTCACCCGTGTCGGCTGTAGCCACAGTGAGCACCATGTGTTCACTTGTAGGGCTGCACCCAGCCCGTGCTATTTCAAGTACCTAGGCAGCCATCTAGCCACGTGGGACACACAGCACACAGGGAGCCCCAGGGGGCTGCCGTGTGTGTGGGATGGACTGTGCCTCCTGTGAGGGACTGTTGCTCACTTTCGCCCCCATGGGCAGCCTGGCCTGTCCAGGTAGGTACTGGGCAGCTGCGCCTCCAGAGGGTGTTTGTGGAGAGGCTCCCTGCAGGGGTCAGAGCGTGCGGTGCCCTGCCTGGTGCCATGTTAGCAAGAAGGCAGCACCCCGTTTGTTGGGAGCTCAGTAGTGTGTGGGGCACCCACAGCTGTGAGGCTTTGCCTCTGCTTGCCGCCTGCTGCTGTTGTCCGTGTGTAGGCACGGGAACTCTGCCAGCTTCCCTGTGTTTACTGCTCTCAGCTGGAAACTGCAGGCTGCCTGGAGGTGGAAACCATGACGGATGTCTCAGAAATCCCTGCCTCTGGGGCGAGCGCTGGTGTGCGTGTGGCCACAGGGTGGCAGCCTCGCGACGCTGGACGGGCGCCTGTCAGGGAGGGACACCCGGGGCGGGAGCCTTTCTAGAGACCTCTGCAGGGCTGTGTGACTAGCAGACGTTTTATTTTATTCCAGACGCTCGTCCTTGCCCGATCCCTCCTGGTGCTGGAGGAGCACCCAGGACTTCACGATCACCATCCTCACATGTCCCTGGGCCCTGCGGGTTCTGACAGCCGTCGAGAGGCCGGGCCAGGGCTTGCACGGCGGCCTCCGCCTCAGATTTTCTTGCAGTCAGCCTGGGCTGTGGTTTGGGAGGAAGGCCACAGGGTGAGGTTTCCTTCCCACACATCCTACCAAGGGACATGCAGAGCATTTTCTCTTTCTTATTTATTTTTTTCTTTTAGAGACGAAGCCTTGCTCTGTCACTCAGGCTGGAGTGCAGTGGCACGATCATAGCTCACTGTAACTTCAACCTCTTGGGCCCAAGACATCCTCCTGCCTCGGCCTCTCGAGTAGCTGGGACTATAGGCATGTACCACCATGCCTGGCTAATTTTTTTTTTTCCCAGAGATGCGGTCTTACTGTGTTGCCTAGGCTGGTCTGGAACTCCTGGGCTCAAGTGATCCTCTAGCCTCAGCCTCCCAGAGAGCTGGCATTTCAGGCATGAGCCTGCACCCTGCTGTGCACAGTGTATTTGAAGGCTGTCTGTTCACTGAATTTTTCTTCCTCGCTCACTGCCTGTCTCGGGGTTAAGGCCTGCCTGGGCTTCCAGCTCCCTGATGACAGCCGTGCCTGTCCCCCTGCTTCCCCTCGCTGCGTGTCTGTCCACATGGCAGCACCAGCAGCAGGACGGGGCAGGAGGCAGGCGCGTGGAGTGGGTGGTTAGTCAAGGACGAGAGCGTCGGGTGGCTGAGGTCATCTCTGCAGGTCGTTAGTGCCAGGCATCTTTTGAGGTAGGGGAGTTCCCACTGGAGCTGAAGCACGCAGGAGCCTGCTGTGGCACCGCGGGCCCAGGGTGGGCTGACTGGGGAGCCGGGGGGCGCTGCAGCAGCTGGTCTGGAGCCTGTCAGGATGCCCGCCCCGTACGCACGGGTTGGTTGAGTGGGAGATGGAGCTCGCAAGCTGCTGTCTCCTCGGTTCAGCTCCCGTGCTGTCCTTACCTATGCCCCAGTTTCACAGGCCTGTGAGGCCCAGTGGAGGCCTTTCCTGGGTGATGGGTGAATGCTGGAAGGCCGGAGCTGAGGGAAGGGGTGTGCTGGGGACAGACAGGCTGGCCCAGGTGCCCGATCCCCGGCAGGTACAGGCAGCCTCTCCTCGGCACTGCAGTGAAGATGGTTAGATGTGTCCTACACAGGGCTCTCTGGCCTCGGCACCCTCTTCCCTGCTGAGCTGGGCATTCTGCAGCCTGAAGTGTCCCCTGGGCTCTCCCTGGCTGGCGTCCTTCACCCCCGGGCCAACAAGGCCTGGCCTGGGTGCCACAGATGCCTCCAACTCATGACAGTCGAGTCACCCCTCGCCTCTTGCTGTGAGCCACCTGCAAGGCTTTTGTTTAATTGCAGTCACTCATGACCCCGAGACAGAAACCATCCTTACAGAACCAAATTCAGCTTTCCTGGAAGAAATGTCAAAAAGTATGACTCAGCAGCTCCACAAGGGCTGTGGCTCTGGAGACGGTGGGGTGCAGCCTTACCAGGACCCCAGCCACCGCACCCAGCAGAAACATCCAAGGCTTGAGGCTTAATTAAGCACTCTGTCCAGCTTTCTGAGTGTTCAAGCAAAATCCTCTTTGTTCAAATTCCAGAACGGCCTGAGTGTCTCTCTCTGTCATGCTGCTTCAGGTGCTGAAGTGAAAGCCATGTCCTAGGTGGGGAGGCCCAGGGGCTCTGCCCTTAATAAGAGCCTGTGTGGGCTGGGCACAGTGGCTCATGCCTGCAGCCCAGCACTTTGGGAGGCCAGTGTGAGAGGATCACTTGGGTGCAGGGGTCAAGACCAGCCAGGGTAACATAGCAAGACCCCTGTCTCTATAAAAAATACAACGAGTCTTGTGTGGCATGCCTGTGCTCTCAGCTACTCGGGAGGCTGAGGCCAGAGGATCACTTGAGCCAGAAGTTTCAGATCAGCCTGGGTGACATGCTGTCTCTACAAGATAAATAAATGTATATTTTAAAGCCCATGTTGTAGCCAGGGAATTGCAGCTCGAGAAGATGGAGAGGAAAGCACACGGTCTGGTCCGACATCCAGCAGGTCCCAGGGCACAGCATGGAGCAGGCGTGTGGCCCATCACGCAGCAAACTACAGACCAGACCACAAGAGCCTGGGGCAGGGCGGGTGGAGTGTGAGGGCTCTCGGAGAAAGGGGCGCTGGCAGAGTGCAGGCTGGGCAGTTAGTGCTCCTCCATTCCCATGGCCAAGGCTGTGCAGGTGCTGCGAGGTGGATGGCAGCCGCCTTGTGATCTCAGGTCACCAGGGGCACGCATCCTTTGGCCTGTGCACTATGGCTCAGGATTTCAGAGAGGGGCTCCTCAGAGCAGCTTCACGTGAGGGCCTGTGGGCTCCCTCAGGGAACGCACAAATTCACAGATGTGCAGCAGTGGGCCGCAGCTCCTCAGAGAGCACCCTCATACAACATGGGTGTTGCAAACCCAGGTTGTGAAATCATTGTGCTTGGTTGCAACCAGATTCTGTTTCTGCAGAGTGGGTTAGGAAAACAGCCTTCTGGGCCATCTGTCCCACAGGTGCCATCTGTGAAGAGAGCCCCTCACTTCCCACTGAGTCTCACCGACTCCCCCACTGCACCTGTACCCATCCTTTGGGCCTGGAGCCGTTCCCTCTTTAGGGCCATCCCTGTGCTGAGTCCCCGTGGCCCTGGGCAAGGCCAGTCCTTCTCTGCTCAGCTGAGTGCTATCAGGGGAGGTGAGCTTGTAAGGATCGTTAGGGGGTGATAGGCTGGCGAGGGTGGCATGTTGGAGGTGGCATCTCCCTTGTGGAGGGTGGGGTTGGAAGGTGAGCTTGTAAGGATCATTTAGGAGGTGAGAGGCTAGAGGGGGCGTGCCCTCGGTCCCAGCGAGAGTGTGCCTCCAGATGTCCCCCTTTCCTCTCGTCTTCTGAGAGGGTGCTCAGACACTGCTCCCGGGCTGCTGCATTCATCAGGAGTGGGGGGCATGGGATCTGCTGGCTGAGGTAGGACCCTGGAGAGGACGCTGAGGCCACCTGCCTGCCCCATCGGGAGCTGGCACTGTAGCTGCACTCCCTGCCTGCTTCCTGGCATCCTCATAAGTGACGGCTGCACCAGATGTGGGGGAGCTGTGTGTCCTGCAGAAGAGCAAACAAGAGGCTTTAATTGCACTCTTATCTGGCCCCTGGGGTGTCAAGGCTGCCGTTGAGGGTGCTTTGTAAATAAAGGGCAGGTGGCCTTTGCGGGAGGCACACTGGGCCACCTTCCGTGGGGTGAGACTGCGTCTGGCAGGTGGCCTGGAGCGCCCCGAGGCTCGCCGCAGGGCGGAAACACCCAGGTCCCCTCTGAGCCTGACCACGGGCAGCTCTGACTCATCTCCCACCTTGGTGGCGCAGACGGTAGCTGTGCTTGGCCCCAGGCCGCGGGCCACTTCCTGTGCTCTCGGGAACCGCAGCCTTCTGGAGAGCAGCTCAGATGTCACTGCAGTTCCCCAGTCATGCGTCTGACATGCATTTCACCAGGGCTCAATGATTCTTGTGTTTTATACTCCAGATCTTCAGTCTTTCTCAAAAAATAAATAAATAAATAAAACCAACCACGTGAGATGTAGGCCTTTTACTCTGAGAGGTGGAGAGCAGTCCCCGCATGTTTGCAGCGTTGCAGACCCTGATCCTTCAGGGCCGGCTGGCAAGGCAAGGCTGGCAGAGGCCGGGAGAGGAAGCAGTGCTGCGTGTGGTGGCGGGAGGAACGCCGCCTCAGAGACCATGCCCAGCCGTCCAGAGCGCATGAGGGCTGTCGCAGCTCCGAGGGGTGTCACTGCTGACCGTCTGCTCTCCTTGCAGCATCTGGGCTGATGGGCCGCGCCCTGCACCGTGAGCCACCCGCGGGAGACCGGGAGGGCCCGGCCCTGCACCTGCAGATGAGCCCGCCGGCCCTGTCCGAGGCAGAGACCCAGGAACTAACCCAGGTAAGGTGTCCCAGTGCCACGCCAGCCAGTGCTGTGTCCTGGTCCTCCCACAGGCTGCTCCCCTCGCCCTCCTGACCACAAACAAGCTCTGGGTCGTCCGTGCTGGCCTCACGCCCAGGAGGAGGTGCTGGTCTCCACTCAGCAGCTGCAGGGAGGGAGGAAAGGCAGTGTCCACCCCGCATCCACACGCCTCCTGGAAGGAGCACACAGAGCTGCCCTGGCTGCCACCTGCACCCATTGTACATGTGCACGTGTGCACGCGCAGGTGTTTATGTTTACTGCGTAGGTACATGTGCTCGCTGTGCGTCATGTGCATGTACTGTACACACGTGTGCTTGTGTATACTGTGTGTTCTCTGTGTACACATGCTATGCTGTACTGTACACGTGCGCTTGTGTATACTGTGTGTTCTCTGTGTACACATGCTATGCTGTACTGTACACGTGCGCTTGTGTATACTGTGTTCTCTGTGTACACTTGCTATGCTGTACTGTACACGTGCGCTTGTGTATCCTGTGTGTTCTCTGTGTACACATGCTATGCTGTACTGTACACGTGCGCTTGTGTATACTGTGTTCTCTGTGTACACTTGCTATGCTGTACTGTACACGTACGCTTGTGTATACTGTGTGTTCTCTGTGTACACATGCTATGCTGTACTGTACACGTGCGCTTGTGTATACTGTGTGTTCTCTGTGTACACTTGCTATGCTGTACTGTACATGTGCGCTTGTGTATACTGTGTTCTCTGTGTACACATGCTATGCTGTACTGTACACACGTACGCTTGTGTATACTGTGTGTTCTCTGTGTACACATGCTATGCTGTACTGTACACACGTGCGCTTGTGTATACTGTGTGTTCTCTGTGTACACATGCTATGCTGTACTGTACACGTGCGCTTGTGTATACTGTGTGTTCTCTGTGTACACTTGCTATGCTGTACTGTACACACGTGCGCTTGTGTATACTGTGTGTTCTCTGTGTACACTTGCTATGCTGTACTGTACACGTGCGCTTGTGTATACTGTGTGTTCTCTGTGTACACATGCTATGCTGTACTGTACACGTGCGCTTGTGTATACTGTGTGTTCTCTGTGTACACATGCTATGCTGTACTGTACACGTACGCTTGTGTATACTGTGTTCTCTGTGTACACATGCTATGCTGTACTGTACACGTGCGCTTGTGTATACTGTGTTCTCTGGGTACACATGCTATGCTGTACTGTACACGTGCGCTTGTGTATACTGTGTGTTCTCTGTGTACACATGCTATGCTGTACCGTACACACGTGCGCTTGTGTGTACTGTGTGTTCTCTGTGTACACATGCTATGCTGTACTGTACACGTGCGCTTGTGTATACTGTGTTCTCTGTGTATACATGCTATGCTGTACTGTACACACGTGCGCTTGTGTATACTGTGTGTTCTCTGTGTACACATGCTATGCTGTACTGTACACACGTGCGCTTGTGTGTACTGTGTGTTCTCTGTGTACACATGCTATGCTGTACTGTACACATGTGCGCTTGTGTATACTGTGTGTTCTCTGTGTACACTTGCTATGCTGTACTGTACACGTGCGCTTGTGTATACTGTGTTCTCTGTGTACACATGCTATGCTGTACTGTACACACGTGCGCTTGTGTATACTGTGTGTTCTCTGTGTACACTTGCTATGCTGTACTGTACACACGTGCGCTTGTGTATACTGTGTGTTCTCTGTGTACACATGCTATGCTGTACTGTACACGTGCTCTTGTGTATACTGTGTGTTCTCTGTGTACACATGCTATGCTGTACTGTACACGTGCGCTTGTGTATACTGTGTTCTCTGTGTACGCATGCTATGCTGTACTGTACACACGTGCGCTTGTGTATACTGTGTGTTCTCTGTACACATGCTATGCTGTACTGTACACACGTGCGCTTGTGTATACTGTGTTCTCTGTGTACACATGCTATGCTGTACCGTACACACGTGTGCTTGTGTGTACTGTGTGTTCTCTGTGTACACATGCTATGCTGTACCGTACACACGTGCACTTGTGTATGCTGTGTGTTCTCTGTGTACACGTTATGCTGTACCGTACACACGTGTGCTTGTGTATGCTGTGTGTTTTCTGTGTACACATGCTATGCTGTACTGTACACATGTGCGCTTGTGTATACTGTGTGTTCTCTGTGTACACATGCTATGCTGTACTGTACACACGTGCACTTGTGTATACTGTGTTCTCTGTGTACGCATGCTATGCTGTACCGTACACATGTGCGTTTGTGTATACTGTGTATTCTCTGTGTGCACATGCTATGCTGTACCGTACACACGTGCACTTGTGTATACTGTGTGTTCTATGTGTACACATGCTATGCATGTACTTGTGCTGTTAGTACACGCGTGCACGTGTGTGTGCTGTGCGTGCAGATGTGCTATCTGTGTACCTTGTATGCAGTGCATGCGCATGTGTGTGTGTTGTATGTGGAGCATGCGTGTACTGTGCCTGTACAGGCATGTGTTCTCTGTGTGCTGTGCATGTGTATGCACATGTGCTCTGTATGCTGTGCGTGCATGCTGGCACACGCCTGCTGCATGTTGCGTACTCTGTGTGCACGGCATGTGTACATGCACAGTAGGGCGAGGGCTCACTCAGCTCTCATGTGCTGAGTACTAGTTCTTAAGGAAGCTGAGCGCTTCATGCCCAGGAGGCTGGAATTTTCATGTTCCGTGTAAACACCCCTGTCTTGTCCAGGGGTTGCTGGCCAATATGCTGGCTTTCCTTCTGCCGTCTCAAGTAATTTTTGAAGCTGTACCCAGTCATCATATCGCTGTATTTGTAAATCTCTCCATACGTATGATTAACGGATGAGAGCCATTCAGGGAGAGCCATACTGCCACTGTCGCCCTCGGAAACAGGAGGTTGTCCCTCAGCACCGTCCAGTCCCCAGGCAGTGCTCCACCCTGCCGAGCCCTTGCTGCAGGCATGTCCCACAGGGTGTGTGGCGTGCACGCAGCTCGTCTCCAGGTGCAGCTTCTGTCTTGTCTTCCCTTGCAGTTGATTCCTTGAAAAAGCGAAGCTGTCTGTTGGGCTGAGACTGCACTTTGGATCTTGCAGTTCTGTATCCCCGCAGGGCATGGGCTCCCTGTCCCTGAGCCTCTGAGTCGGCAGGTGGGTCTGGGGCTCTGTCAGGCCTGGCCCTGTTTTTGGAGGGAGTGTTCTGTGGGTGGCTCTGCCCGTGGCCACCAGGAGGGGGATAAAGACGCTCTGTCTCTTAGGCCTGTTTTTGAAAACCGGTTCTTACTTTATGTGTCTGCGTATGTATGAACTCCTGAGGCCAGCTTGTTTGGGGAAAAAGGTGTTCATCTTTGCTCTGGGGTAATTCAAGTGGACACAGCCTGTCACTTTTTCCTCCCAGCCTCCCTTAGTCATGTCTGGTAATGGCACACAAAGTGCTGCCTGGTAGGTGTAGCCAGCTCACTGTGCAGGTTCCTAATCACCTTCAGATACACTCATTGCCTCCAGAACGTTCTTGGCCCTGGTTTCGTTTGCTCAGGGTTTTTGAGAAATCCCAATACTATAAAGACAGGCTTATCTGGTTCTTCCCCAGCCATCCTCCTTAGAGCGCCTCAGGGTGCATGGCTGGGACTGGCAGAATGTGAGCACATCCCACTCCCACACCCCACAAAGGTGTCCACGGCCGAGATGCTCACTGTGTTCCACGGTTGTGTTTAGACTGAAGTAGGAACAAAGCTTTAGGATGAGAAGTCGGAAGCTTATCTGTTAACTGTGATGGTGGCCATGTAGCTGGAGAGGCCCTCCGGTGTCCACACGTCAGGCTGTCCTGCCACGTGTGGCAGGTTCTTCACCACAAACCCGGGAGCAATGGGGAGGTGCTCAGGTGACTGCATGAGCTTCGAGTGAGCGGGGCTCCCCAGGACTGTTCCAGCAAGCCCAGTGACAGTGCCGGGAGGAGCAGCCTCCATACTCAGGACTCTGGCATCAAGGCCAGCGGTGGAGTGGGAGGAAGCAGTGGCCTGAGGGACGGCTGGGGAGGGCCCAGGAAGGCCTGGCGGGCCCGGGGGGGCAAGGGCAGCACATTGGTCAGATGCGGGCCCCCTTCTTTGCAAAAGGGACCTGGTTACAACAGGGGACCGTCTTTTTGAGGCAATACATGTGTTTCCTATTTAGAGAATTCCTAGTGCACAGTTGAAGCTCAAGCAGAAGCCAGAGTGAGTTACATTTCTGGGGAAAACAAAAATGCACGAAACCCCCTTCATCCCTTCATCCAGCTGTGGTTTTTGTTGCAGATGCTATTAAAGCCATCACGCTGAAACGTGTCCCCGTGGTGGTGTGGGTTGCAACATGGGGTGCTCAGGAGAGCGCGGCTGTGACCACAAAGGCCAGGCAAGGCCCAGGCGGGGGTGGTGCGGCGAGCTCTGCTTTCTGCTCTGCAGGGCCCTGGCTGCTGCTCACGTGGCTGCGGAGAGCGGAGGGAGGTGAGTTTGCAGAGCCCTCTGCTTGCTTCTGCCGTCCGCTCCCCTTTGTGGCTGTGGAAGCCGCTGGGGGCCACGCCATGGATGTGGGGCCTAGACAGGGTAGAAGTGGAGGTGGCATCTGGCAGTTTCCTGGAACACTCCAGCTCATGTGGCGTCATCTATCTTGTCCTGCTTTGGGGTTGCTGTGTCCGTGTCCCTCTGTCTCCCGGGAGGAACCAGGTGGACACTCAGTGTAGACAGACACGGGGTCTGGTGGGAGAGTGGGTGGGAGCCTCACTGGCGGCTGATGGTGTGAAAGAAGTCAGCTGCACTCCTGCCATGGCTCCTGCTAGGAACGGACGTGCCATGGCTGGTCCCTGTGGGCGCAGGTCCCAGTGGGTGCTTGGGCGATGCCTCAGCCTCCTGCCTCGTGGCATGGGGCGGCCGGTCTGCCACTGCCTCTGATGTCTCCATAAACAGCAAATGCAAACACACATGGTAACAGGAAAGCCACAAGA